AGGGGGGAGGGAGAGGGAGAAATGGATGTGGGAGGGGCTTGGGTGCTCTTCAAAGGCACATCCCTGTTGACTTAATCTTCCAACCAGTCCCCACTTCCTAAGTCTCCACAGCCTCCCCCACCAGCACCGCCAGCCAAGACCAAGCGTGAAACAGAGGCCCTGCATGTTCAAACAATAACATCCATTAATCCTTTGGGGAGGGAGTCCAGGACTGTGCCTGGTGAAAGGCTCTAGAAATTGTTTGAACCTCAAATAAGGGCCACTGTGACATTGATCTCTGCACTCAGGACATCTTGACCTTGAGCCGTAGTTACTCCGTTTTCCCTTATTTCATCCATTTGTTTTCCATGGTAACCACCTGTTGTTTTCCCCACCAGGAAAGATGACCCAAACCACAGTGACTGTGAATGGGGTTGAAATGGCCTCTGCACTCCCCCAGTCCACTCATGTCAACATCCACATTCACCAGAAACCAGCTTGGGAGCAGCTGCTGAAAGCCATGGGCTCCCTGAAGTTTCTCCCCTGTCCTCAGGACACTGAGCCCTCCAAGGCCAGCATCCATCACGGGCAGCTGGCTCTAGGGGTGAGAGTGAGGGGGTTGGTGGGTTAGTGAGGTGGCACAGAGACTGGAGACTCTCCTCTTTATAGATGCAAGGGAAAGCGGGTTGACCCCTCAGGGAAGAACAAAGGAAGGATGCAGGCATGTGGGGAGAGGTTTTAGACATTTCTCTGCCGGGATTTGCATGGAAAGGAGTAACCAACCCCCTCTGTGGTGCAGAGAGAACTGTGTCAGCCTGAGGCGGGGTGACAGGAGAGGATTTCAGGGCTGTGAGTTCTGTTGTTTCCTGGAGTTCATGGGGGCTGAAGGCAGCAGATGCAAGACAACACTAAGGAAACCCTCAGGGAGAGGCAGAGTGCCACCCATGAGGAATGGCGTCTGGGCAAGGCCCTGAGCGGAGCAGGGATGGGCTTGGATGGGGAGCAGCAGGGTGAGAGAGGAAGGAACTTTCACAGTAAAGGAGTGCCAGGAACAAGGGTAGCCACTGCTGTGACAGGAAAGAGTGAAGAGAGAGGGATTCACAGAAGATAAGTGAAGGGACCAGCCCCCCATTTTGGCAGCCATGACAGTAACGCGTGCTCGCTATGACCTTGCTTTGGTCACTAAGAGGTCAGATGCCTGCCTCGAGGCAAGGAGCCAATCAGAAGTTAGCTGGTGGTGCTCTGCTTTACGACCCTGGGTGTACTTTACGGACAAGCGCACAGCAATAACCTACAGAGCATAGCAACCACCCTGGGAGAGCCTATGGGCAATAACAACAAATTCTACCATTAACACAGGGCAAGCCCTCCAAGCCTGGAGCCACACCAATCCTGAGCCTGTGCGTACCCCTAGACACTCCCCTTATGCTGCCCTACAAGATCTCTCTGCAGCCGGTTGAAGCTGTCTTTGCTAACCATCCGCCATGGCGGGGGGGTGAAAGACCCGAGCTTACATGGGGTTAGCTTGTTTAAAAAAACAATAAAGCGTCATGCAGTTTGCATCAAGCTCTCGAATATGCCTGGTGATTGGGGTGACCTCGGTCCTGGGCTGAGACCCCGGAGGCCTGAGTTTTCCAGGGGTCTAATAATAAGGAGCCATTTTGCTAAAAAGCCTTGAGTGAATTTTTGGTGTTGTTTATGTATACTATCATGTTATCTGCAAATATTGATACTTTTACTTCTTCTTTTCCAATTTGTGTTCCCTTGATTTCCTTTTGTTGTCTTATTGCTCTAGCTAGAACTTCAAGTACAATATTGACTAAATGTAGAGTGGACAGCCTTGTCTTGTTCCTGATTTTAGTGGAATTGCTTTGAGTTTCTTTCCATTTAATTTGATGTTGGCTGTCAGCTTGCTGTATATTGCTTTTATTTTATTTAGGTATAGTCCTTGTATCCCTAATCTCTCTAAGACTTTTATCATGAAGGGGTGTTGGATTTTGTCAAAGGCTTTTTCAGCATCTAATGAGATGATCATGTGGGTTTTTTTTTTTCAGTTTCTTTATATGGTGGATTACATTGACAGATTTTCGTATGTTAAACCATTCCTGCATCTCTGTGATGAAGCCCCTTTTAAATGTCATATTCTGTAGATCTTCAAAAGGTTTTGAAGAATGCCTACCCATTTGAAATATATACATGTAATTCTAGAAAACTAACATAACTGTAAGTTTTGACTATTATAGGTGACTGTCTATAATCTATATTTAATTATACAGTACATTTTTAAAAGAGCTATATAAACAAAATACCTAAACAAGAGTAGAAATATACATATAACAAAGTAGGCCTTAAATTTGCATCAATAAGCCAAAATCCATAAAAATGCAAAGTATTTCTTTCTGTATCATATTCCCTTTTTCTTTAGAAAGAGATTGACTGTGATCATTAACCATTTATTATTTAAATGAAATGAAACCCCATTTAAATGAAAACAAACATTTATAAACAATATTTAGGAATTTGGGTATCTGCCATGGACCACCCCAGCTGGGTATGGGAGTCCCTGGGATGAGGGTCCTTGAAGAATAGTTGGGTAAGGATCCAGCGGTGACAGACAGAAACAAACACAGAGGCAGTCTGAATCTGAGTGTATTTTCAGTTCTCAAACAAGGTTTTTTATAGAGATATTTTCTCAGGGGATGCTTTTGTTAAACAAACACAAACATATGACATTATTGTTACTTGGCACAGTGACACAGAAATCCAAAACATAGAACCACCCAGGGTTAATCAAAACATAAAATTGTCCTTGATTAATCAAAACATAGGACCGTCCTGACTAACATGGGATCATCCAAGGCTAACCACATATTTCTTAATTCAAATTAATATATTTTTATGGTCAGTTACTGTTTCACATCTATTACCTAGTTCTTGTGAGTTTTTGAAATATTGAGCTATTTTAACTATTTTGAAGTATTTAACTATTTTAACTCTTTCTTATTAAAAGCTTTTGTTACTTAAGCCCACTTTTGATGACACATGTACTGCCATATGAAATTTTATTGTTGGGAAAGTTTTTACTGTTTGTACTTAATGTGAATGATTTGGAAATCGCTGGTTTTTCCTGAGATGAGGTCATGGCTAGTGACCCCATCTCAGGGGATGATTTCTTATCTATTTCTTTTGTTTAAAATGTCAGCATAGGCTTTTAGGAACATTTTGTTAATGTGGGGGGAAAAAGGAATAGAGAAACAAAGAGAAATTGCCATGAGAATCACAGCCCAATATTTTTCTCGGGCTGAGATTCCACAACCGTTTCCAGGAGACCTCCTTCTTTTGAAATTATTGCTGCAGTCTGTGGGACTTGTCACACGGAATCTACTGGATTTGGTGTGGCAGGTGTAGTTCTCTCCAAATTGCTTTCTGCTGTTTGGGGGCACGGTCAGTCCCAAGGGGATCCTGAGAAAACCCAGAACCATGGCCGACTCCTGGCTGTAGTAGTCTGAGGCTCCATCATCTCAGCTGTTTTGGAAGTTGGATCACCTGGGCCCCTGCTTCAGGGGGTCTTGCTTGATCAAACCATATTTGTCTGGAAGGAATCCACAGCTTTTCATCTTCTGTGGAAATGAAAGCAGAACCTCTTTTCCAAAGTAACCTGTCCTTAGACATTTTCAAATATATAGGTTGGATTAATCCAGCAGCATTTATAATCAAATGTCTGATAGCAGCTGTTTCTCCTCCCTCAGCAGTCAAACAATTTAGGGACAACACAAGAACATACAGTATCCAGACTCTCTGTGGATTTTTTTTATTACTCTATTTCTTTTATTTTTAGTTTTTAGTTTTTTGAGGCAGGGTTTCTCTGTGTACCTTTGGCTGTCCTGGAAGTCATTCTGTAGATCCACCTGCCTCTGCCTCTGGAGTGCTGGGATTAAAGGCGTGTGCTATCCTCACCTGGCTACTTTTTCTCTATCCTTTTTTTCCTCCCCCCAAGCACACATATATTTTTAAATATATTATAAACCGTTTAGAGATTTTTTCCCCCTATTAATCTGCCTTTATTGTGTATCTCTATCTTTTTCTGACGACATCTGTCTTTAATCTGTTAAACAGCATGGCTAAGATTAAAGTGTCGGCTGAGCCCGCCCTATTCCTTGGCTTCCTGAGAGTCTAGCTTCATGGTGAGGGTACTGGTGGGAGCTATTTTTATTGCCATAACTCTGTTCAGTTTCTAGTCCATGCCACCCACCACCAAGAAGCATGCTGCCAGCTGCTCATAAACACCATTTAAGCATTTGGTGGAACCATTTAAGCATTTGATAGAACCATTTTAAAGAACCTTGTGGTTTTTGGCACTAACACTGAGTCAGGAAGCCTCTCTTAAAGGAGTCATGCCTCTGCCTCTGCTTGCCTCTAGCAAACAGAATACATCCAAGAAAATGTTGCTACCAAGAAGCCATGCTTGATTCTGTTCTTTTGTGTTTAGAATCCCTAGGTTTTACATGGACATTCTTGCCAAACATTTGGGTACCACTTGTGGATGTAAGTTTCTGTCCCACCTGGTCCTGCAGCTGTTCAGTCTCAAATAAATACACAGAAGCTTATATTAATTATAAAATGTTTGGCCAATGGCTTAGGCTTCTTGTTGGCTAGCTCTCTCTTAATTATTAACCTATTCCTATTAATCTATATGTCTCCATGTGGTCTTGGCTTACCAGAGAATGCTCAGATATCCTACCTTCCCAGTAACTACATGGTATCTCCTTGACTCCATTTATTACCTTTCTTTGTCCCTGTTTGGGTTTCCAGCCTGGCTAGATCCTTCCTGTCCATTGGCCAAAACAGTTTTATTCATCAACCAATAAAAGAAACAAACATATATTCACAGCACACAGAAGGACATCTTCCATCATTGAGTTCATGAATTTGTAGACTTTATGTGGTTAGTGTTGTTGTTGATCTGATAAGATACAAGGGGCTATTCCATTTTTTTTTGTATTTGTTAAGACTTGCTTTGTAATTGAGTATGTGGTCAGTTTTAGAGAAGGTTCCATGAGGTGCTGAGAAGAAGGTATACTTTGGTATTTATGTGAAATGTTCTATAAATATCAGCTAGGTCCATGTGAGTCATAACATCTGCTAGTTCCAATATTTCTCTGTTTAGTTTCTGTCTGGATGACCTGTTCCATTGGTGAGAATGGGGTGTTGAAGTCTCCTACAATTAATGTGTGGGGTTCAATATGTGATTTTAGCTTTAGTAATGTTTCTTTTACAAATGTGGGTGCCTTTGTATTTAGGGCAAAGATGTTCAGAATTGAGACATCATCTTGGTTGATTATTTCCTTTGGTGAATATGAAATATCCTTCTACATCTCTTTTGATTAATTCTAGTTTGAAGCCTATATTGTTAGATATTAGGATTGCTACATTAGGTTGCTTATTTGTTCTGTTTGATTAGAAAATCTTTTTCCAACCCTTTATTCTGAGGTAATGTCTGTCTTTGATGTTGAGGTGTCTCTCTCTCTCTCTCTCTCTCTCTCTCTCTCTTTTTGCCAGAAATAAACAATTCCAGAAATCCCTCCCTCCCTCCCTCCCTCTTTTTTTTTTTTTTCGAAACAGGGTTTCTCTGTGTAGTTTTGGAGCCTATCCTGGCACTCGCTCTGCAGCCCAGGCTGGCCTCAAACTCACAGAGATCTGCCTGCCTCTGCCTCCCCAATGCTGGGATTAAAGGCGTGTGCCACCAATGCCTGGCCCTAAGTTTTCCATTTCTAGAATTCCCTCAGTTTTTTTTTATTCTTTTTCCATTTTCAGGTCTTGAGCAGTTTTATTTGTTCCTGTCAGCTGTTTGTTTGCTTTTTATCTTGGTTTTCTTGGCATTTGTTAAAATGTTTATTCATTTCCTCGAATTTTTGGTTGCCTTTTCTTCCATTTCTTTAAGGGAATTTTTTCATTTATACTTTAATGACCTCTATTATCTTCATAAAGTTATTTTGAGGTCATTCTTGTGCTTCAGCTGTGTTGGAATATTCAGTTCTTGCTCTCATAGAATAGCTGGTCTAGTGATGCCATACTACCCTTTCTGCTATAGACGGTGTCCTTACACTGTGTTTAGATGGTGTTCTTACACTGTGTTTAGATTGTGTCCTTACACTGTGTTTAGATGGTGTCCTTACACTGGTGTTTAGATGGTGTTCTTACACTGTGTTTAGATTGTGTCCTTACACTGGTGTTTAGATGGTGTTCTTACACTGTGTTTAGATTGTGTCCTTACACTGGTGTTTAGATTATGTTCCTATACTGGTGTTTAGATTGTGTTCCTACACTGGTGTTTAAATGGTGCTCTTACACTGTGTTTAGGAATCTGGATTTAGGATGATGATAGGTCTAGGCATGGATTACCTTATCCAGTCTTATCTGGCCCTGGGGATTGAATCCAAGGGCTCGAGTATTTCTCAGCACGCTCATCTCCCACCCTCAACACTACATCTTGTGTGTACTACAGAGCCCTCCACATTATGTTTGGATATGAGGATTAGGGTGGGGTGAGACACTGAGCTTAGGTGCAGGATTTTTCAGGATGATATTCCTAGGGGAGAATGAGATAAAATGTTAAGAATCAACCAGCATGAATTGATAGTGTCATGAAAAATTGAAGGAAAGACAGCCTGAGGGGAGAGGGAAAAAGCAGGCCAGTGTGACTCAATGGATGTCAGAACAGAACTTTGCAGAATCAGAGCTGCAGGGAGGCCAAAGCAGAGGAGGTGGTGAAGCCCACACCTGGCTTGGAGCTGTGCAGTTCCCCTTGGGATGTGAAGACAGTTGACCTTTTTCCTCCTGTCTTGCAGGTCACCCAGATATTGCTGGGGCTTGTGAGCTGTGTTCTTGGAGTGTGTATCTACTTAGGACCCTGGACTGAGCTGTGTTCCTCTGGCTGTGCCTTCTGGTCAGGGTCTGTGGTAAGTAAGGAGCTAGCAAGGAGCCCAGTGGAGACAAACAGGAAACTGTTGCCTCAGGACTGGAGAAAACCTTCTGATGCCTAGTTTTTTGTTTTTGTTTAAGGGCAGGACATTGGTGACAAGTGTCTGCCCCCATGTGCTTCTTTTTTGTTGACTTGCATGTCTTTTGAACCCTGCTTTACTTGGGGTGTTCTGGGAGCTGTTGGTGGAAGGGTAATGGGAAACCTAGCCAGGAGAATAAACTAGAGATAATATTTTTTTTATGCTGTCTTCTTTTTCCAGGCGATTATAGCTGGAGCTGGCACCATTATTCATGAGAAGCGACAGGGAAAACTGTCTGTGAGTCTCAGGCTTCCTCTTTATCAACCCTGTCCCATCTACACCCTCCAAAAGACCTAGCAGTTTAGCACTATTCTACATTTTACCCTTTAGTTACCAATAAAATGAGTCTTTCCTGGAGGGTTGGGAGGGACTTCCTGCTATAGCAGCAGGGAAAGATGAGCAGGTTTGAGGCTGTGGTTCTCAATTCTTCCACTGACTGCAGAATCTGCATCCGGACCTCTCTCTTCCAGGGCCATATATCACGTCTGCTCATCCTGGCTTGCATTGCCACAGCTGTGGCCTCTACTGTTTTGGGTGTGAGCAGCTTAATCTGGCAAACCAGTGCTTTCTACCAAGTCAAGATCAGGTCCACATGTGACTCCTTACAGTCTAGCACGGACAGTGAGTATGGGAGAGTGCGATTCACTGATGACTCAGTCTGGAAGACGGAGAGGTGCAAAGAATACCTGGGCATGATGATGGTGAGAATGGAAGCATGGTTTCCCTGGGTCATGCAACAGCCTTGGTTTTTAGGAATTGGAGTTCCCGGGGAACAAGGATGAAGGCTCTGTGAACTTGGCCCTCACCCTAGCTTTGGTTTGGAAGTTGTCATTCAAGCTGAAGGCATTTTCAGACCTCCATACATGAAGATTCCCTGACTCAGCGGTGGTGGGGGAACAGACAGTAGGTCACCCCTCTGACTTCTCATGAATGGCCATTCTGGTTATCTACTTATTGATGCATAAGAATCACCCCCTAACATGGTGGCTTTAAACACCACTTTATAGTTCTCACAGTCCTCTGGCTGGGTTCAGACAGACACTTGGGTGTTCTATGCAGCTGCAGGCAGAGACAGTGGGTGTGATCGTTTAAGGGCTCACTGGGCCTGGGCATTCACAGCAAGGCACTAATGTAACAGGAAGATGATGGCTCTTGGTTGGGAGCTCAGCTGGGCTGTTAGCCTGAGGACCTATAGCAGCTTCTTCATGTGCTTCTGGCTTCTCAGCATAGCAATAAGGTCCCAGGTGGGGAGTTTTGGTATGGTTGTCAAGAGGCAGGAATAAAAGCCACAGGGCCAGTGAAGGGCTGCCCATTGTTGGCGTGGTGTCATTTCACCAGTCAAGCAAGTGGGATAGACGCGGTGGCCACCCCATCACCAGAAGATGCCACCGGCCTTGGTGAGAAGTATCTGCTAGACAGGGCATAGGCTGGGTGTGGCTGTGGTAAGGTGACAATGTGATTCAGAGGAGCTGACTCCTGCTGGGCCTGTTCCTCTTTTGCCTCTAGAACCTGTTCCTAGCAATCTGCATCATGCTCACCGTTGTCTGTATCCTGAAGATTGTTGTGTCTTTGGCTTCCCTGGGACTGAGTCTCCAAAGTATGTGTGGCCGGAGCTCCCAGACCCTGGTGAGTACTCAGGAAGGGACTTGCTGGACATCAGGGGTCTGGGCATTGAAAAGGGATGAGCACCTGACCTAGGAAGTCCCTGGTCCTCACTTATGCTTCGCTGTCTGGGGACTGTGACCCATCTTATGTCCAGTCTGACCTCTGCTACCTCGTGTTTTTCCATGCTGTCCTTCACTCTCACTTCCCACTCTGTCCGAGTTCGTGCTTCACCCCCTACTCTGCCTCCTGTCCTTCCTGCTGCATTGCCCGTCAGGCTGCCACCCCCGTCCCCCCTTTCTTCTGCTTGTTTCAAACACTGAAGCTAAGCTCGTCCTCGTGCTTTTCTCTGTCCATCGATGATGCTGACCTCGTCCTCGTGCTTTTCTCTGTCCATCGATGATGCTGACCTCCATGCTTCATCTTGATGCTTTTCTCCCATTCATTGATTTCTTCCTCCTATTTTATTTTCAGGATGAGGAAGAGACAGGGAAAAAGCTTCTTGGGGGGGATTCAACACCTCCCTCCCCAACCAAGGAGATTCCTGGTATCCTATGAGCTTCTACAAAGACCCTGCGTGAGCCCGCACGTGTCCCTGAACAGACTGATCCCGAGAGGGCAGCATCTGTTCCCAGGGCCTCTGCTGGCCCTGCAGCACACAGCTGGTTCCCTATGCAGCCCCCTTTCTCTTCCTGTCTCCCCACTGTCCTCACTCCAATGTCCTTTGTTCCATAAATAGATACTGTGTCATTTTCCCAATGCTAATTAAACAGAAACAACCCCCCAAAAAAATACCTCTTGAAGAAAGGTGTGGGCTCTTTGTTGATACAGATGGTGTGCTGGGAAGGGCTGCGCCTTGAGCTGGTGTGTGTGGAGACAGAAGAGTGGCCGTGGAGCATGGCTGCAGCTGCATGTCTGTGACGTCACGCTCTTCTTCAGGGTTTGCCTCCATTCTACTGCGTGAAGTGAATGTAACGCAAGGGTTTAGAATCTTCTTGGCCATTACTTAGTCTTCTTTCCTGATGCTGTGATAAATGCTCTCACAAACAAACAAAACAAAACAAAACAAAACACCTTATGGGAGAAAGGTTTTATCTTACTCTGCTGTCTTCATGCATCGGGAGGTCAAAGCAGCAGGACCCTGAATCAGCAGGCCACATCACATCAGAAGCAGGGAATGATGAATTCAAACACACAGCTGCCTGTCTCACTTTCTCCACTCCACTTAGGGAATGGTGGCTCCCATAGTGGGTGGGGCTTGCCCCCTCAGTGAACATAATCAAAGTAATCCCCCACGTCTATGCTCATCTTTCAGGTGACTGTAGTGAAGTTGATTCTCCCAGAACCCAGCCCACTGAATGTTCAGGGATCACCTGCCACAGACAGACCTGTGAGTTGGGGTCTCAGGGAACAAAAGACATTTTACTTTGCTTAGAAGGTGAGGCATTGAGCCTCCACCACAAAGAGTGTAGTGTACTAGGCAAGAGAGTAACGTGAAGTGTTTGCCAAGTATCTGTCAGAGGCGAGGACCAAAAGGGAAGCTATAAAGATGGCACTGGCAGGAGAGGCTCTGAGATTGCTATTGGTGCTTGACTAGCTGGGGCAGTGCAAAGTGATCACCATTCCCCTGCCTCAGTGTGCAATGGCACATTTGGTGGTGCCCAGTTTCCTGTCATCAGCCCGATCTCAAGAAATGATGGCTTAGTTGGTCAAGGGTGCTTATAGTTGCCACTCATATAGATGCCCAGGATTCCACCTGCCGAGATCCCAGCCCGCTGCATAGCAGGGGCAGTCCTTGGGGCTTGACAAACATTGGAGGCCAAGAGAGGGCGCCATTTCATCAGCATCTGGCGTAGACTGGGAGGTCATAGACCAAAATAAGGATAGCAGCAAAGTTCCACTTGGTGATTCCATGAGTTTACTGAGGTAACTGATGCGTGTGGGTGAGGGGACGCTTACAGGGGCACAGATGACTCAAAGGCAACATTGTTATCTAAAATCACACAAGCATGAGTGCCAACTTGTAAGACCCAGGGTTCTGGAGTTCTCTACATAGCTTACAAGCAACTTGATGGGTTAAAGAATCTTCTCTAGGTAGTTTGGCTCATCTAAGCCTCCTTAGCAATCCTCCCTGCTTATATAATCTTAGGCAGAGTGGGGCCTTGTATGTTTCTGGAACTCCCTGAGTTGTTTATTTCTCTATTCTTAGCAAACCTCCCTTTAGGACGCTTTGGGTCTTAATGAGCTACCGCCCAGAATGGAATGTTCCAGTTCAGAGGAATTTGCTCTGTAACTGTGATGACACTGTCACCCTGAAGGGGCCACTGGGTTTCCCATCCTTCTGAGCATCCTGACTCCTCTGGAGCGGGGCCTTGCTTCCTCCACCTGAGGCACTGCCATTTCTGTTTCCACTTACAGTAGGTGCCTCTTATGCACCACAGGACAGATTTATAGGAGTGCCCTAATCTCAATTTTGGCTTATGTGCGACCTGGGGGTGGCTCTGGACACGATGAAGCAGAGGAGGGAGAAACTCCAGTCAGGGAAGGTAAAGACTTTGTAGAAACCACACCTTGCCCTTTGCCATCCTGAGGCTGTTAGGGGAAGGAGGCATGGTGCACTGTGAGGTTACAGCCCAGGATGCACGTTAAAGAAATGAAGAAATCTGGAGGTTCAAAGAAAGGAAGGTGAGGCAAACCACCCTTCAAAGGAGCATGATTAGGGGAGTCGTGGGATTACAGGCATGGGCAACCATGATGAGCCTTCAGGTAGGAGGGCATTAGGAGAGATAGTTGCCACGTGTGACAAGCTGGGATCCTGAGGGAAAATGACTTCCAACCTCCTTTAGTTCCAGGTATTAGGAGGCTGACAGCACCATCCCATAATTGCATGAAGGGACCCAGAAGGAAGAGACAAACCTTTCAGTTCCATAGCACAAAGGTTTCTTGCACTTACAGGTTTTTGGGTGGGGAGGGGTAGTTCCATACCATGTGACCTAGCCTCTATCCCAGGAGTCATAAGGTAGGAAGTCTGTACATATAATTCAAGGTTGTCTTAGGTCTGGCCATAGCTGGGATTGCTCTCAGTGGCATGGGGGGAGGGAGAAGACTCAACTCTTTGGAAGAATGCCAAGGTCATGGCAGCTTTCTGTGGTTGGCAGGTGTGGGGAATTGGTTGCAGGTGGTATGGTTTGGTTTTTGCCTAGAGGATGTATAACCTAACAGTATATAGATATCATATCGATGGCCATGGAAGGAATTCAGATATAGAACAGGGCCACTTGAATTCTGTATCTTGTTTGACTCCTTTCTGTTGTTTAAAAAGCCATTTCTCTGTGTGTTCATGCATGTATGAGTAAAGGCAACTAGGGAGGCAGAAGAGAGCATCAGATTCCCTGAGGGTGGAGAGACAGGTAGTTGTGATCTGCCATGTGGGTGCTGGGAACCTAACTCCACCTCTGAACCATCTCTCCATCCCAGTTTACTCCTTTTTGTTTGTTTGCTTGTTTTATGAGACAGGGTTTCTCTGTAGCTTTGGAGCCTGTCCTGGAACTCACTCTGTAAACCAGGCTGGCCTCAAACTCACAGAGGCCTGCCTCTGCCTCCCAAGTGCTGGGATTAAAGGCATGCATAGGATTTTAGAACAGAGTTCCAAGCTGAAGAAACATAGGCAAGCTGAATCGAAGGCAAAGTCAAAGGAGGCATTATTTCCTTCCTTGGTTCTAGCGGTATTCATTTTTGTCTCAGTATTTTTACCTCAGCCTTAGGCAGCCAGATCAGATAAAGTCTCTTTGTTTTTCCATTATGGAAAGCAAATGTCAGCATGTTTGGTTTCTGTTTCAGTGGTCTGTATCAGACTTCGGCAACTCCTTCCCCGCACACCGAAGGGAGGCTGGCTTCCTTCCTCTGGCCCCTCCTCCCTCATGTTCTCAGTGCCTGTCTCACTGTAGGCCTCCACCCTGTCCCATGAAGAGCCTGGAAGCGTCTTTGGATAAGTTTTTCTTTCTGTAGACTATCAGATGTCACCACTCCTCTCCTAGTTTTTGTTTAGTTGGGAAAGCCAATATCCATCTCTCTTCACCTAGCTCTGCCTTGTTGGTAAAACTGTGTATACAAATGGGAATGACGTCAGGTTCCTGACAGAGTCCTGAAAATTATCTCCAGCCTGTTTGTATATAAGTCTGTAATGGAATATTTAAACCCACAGGCATAAACAATGAAGGACTCATCCTTCTCTTCCTTGTCCTCCTACCACCCCCCCCCCACACACACATTGTTTTTCCTTCTGTGTTGTTGCCTCTTGAGTCCTCTAATGTCAGGATCAGATTCCAGCTTGCATGTATTGGCTATTAAAGGGTGTGCTGGTTAGTGATTGATGTGGGGAGGGCCCTGCCTACTGTTGGCTGTGCCACCCATGGGCAGGTGGTCCTGTGTTGTATAAGAAAATGGATTGAGCAAGCAATGGGGAGCAAGCCAGTAAGCAGCACCCCTCTGTGGCCTCTGCTTCATTTCTTGCTTCTAGGTACCTTCCATGAGTTCCTACCCTGGATTTCCCTTCATGATAGATTGTAGGCTGTAAGATAAACTCTTCCTTTCCCAAGTTCCATTGTGTTTACCACAGCAATAGAAAGCAAACTAAAACAAAGGGAGTCCCACTTGGTTTCTAGGCCAAGTTCTATTCATTAAAACAACAACAACAAAGAGCATTCCTCAGAGCTTGGGTCTGTGTGTCCCTACCCCTCCAGGTCACGTGGACTGGGAGAGCTGGGGTGGGAAGCAGGGCTTCTTCTCTTCCTTCCTTCTGCAGGCATCTTTCTCCTGCACTGTTACAGTAGGGAAGAAGGGTGAAGGACAGGATGTTTGTTCTCTAGTTTGTTTTTTAATCTACTGGCTGAAGGAAGGCTGTAGAATGGCCATGAGCAGATAAGGGACAGGATTTATTGATTCAACCTAAAACCAACTGATGTTTTTGGCTTTCGTTTATAAGTAGTGATGCGCTCATATGTTATTACTGCTTGGTCTGGGAAGTATTTGGGAATTTCCCTGCCCTCCACTGCATTAGCTGTCTGGGTTTTTCTAACTGCCTTGAAAGGTACATTTAAAGGAGAGAAATCTGAGCTGAAGGGAGAAAGTCACTCTCTTGTGGCAAGATTATTTTTAAATAAGTTTATTTTTTAATCACTATTTATTTATGTATTTTACCTCTGGCTGCAGTTTCCCTTCCTTCCTCTCCAATCCCTCTCCTCCATTCCCCCTCTCTGGCCCCACTCCCCAGTCCACTCCTCCACCTTTTCTGTTAAGAAAGGGGCAAGTCTCCCATGAATATCAACAAAAACAAGGCATATCGAGTTGCAGTAAGACTAAGCACCTCCCATGTATTAAGGCTGGGCAAAGCAACCCATTATGAGGAAGGAATAAAGTCCCCAAAGCCTGTAAAAGAGCCAGAGACAGCCCCTGCTCCCACTGGTAGGAGTCCCATAAGAGGACTGGATGGGATGGGGATATGAGCAATCGGGTAGGCAAGGACGTGGAGGGGAGAGGACTGGAAAGGGGGTAAAATCTGACCCAAGGGAACCTCCCAGGCATCTACAAGGATAACCCCAGCTTAGACTCCTAGCAGTAGTGAATAGGTAGCCTGAACTGGCCATCTCCTGTGACCAGATTGGTGCCTAGCCCAGTTGTCATTAGAGAGCAACTGATGGAAACAGATACAAACCCAAAGCCAAACATTAGGCAAGTTTGGGGAATCCTGCAGTAGAGGGGAGAAAGGACTGTAGGAGGCAGAGGGACCAAGGAC